GTAGTAGTAGTAGTAGTATTAGTAGTAGTAGTAGTAGTAGTAGTAGTAGTAGTAGTAGTAGTAGTCCTAGTCGTAGTATTAGTAGCAGAAGTGGTAGTAGCCATAGTAGTAGTAGTCGTAGTTATGAAAGTAGAAATAGTAGTGGTATTATTCGTAGCAGTAGTAGTATTCGCAGTATTATTTGTAGTGCTAGTAGTAGTAGAAGAAGTAATAGTAGTAGTAGTAGTAGTAGTAGTAGTAGTAGTAGTAGTAGTAGTAGTAGTAGTAGTAATAAAAGTAGTAGTAGATAAAAGTAGTAGTAGTAGTAGTAGTAGTAGTAGTAGTAGTACTAGTAGTAGTAGTAGTAGTAGTAGTAGTAGTCGTAGTAGTAGTAGTAGTAGTAGTAGTAGTAGTAGTAGTAGTAGTAGTAGTAGTAGTAGTAGTAGTAGTAGTCGTAGTAGTAGTAGTAGTAGAGGAGTAGTAGTAGTAGTAGTAGTAGTAGTAGTTAGTAGTAGTAGTAGTAGTAGTAGTAGTAGTAGTAGTAGTAGTAGTAGTAGTAGTAGTAGTAGTAGTAGTAGTAGTAGTAGTAGTAGTAGTAGTAGTAGTAGTAGTAGTAGTAGTAGTAGTAGTAGTAGTAGTAGTAGTAGTAGTAGTAGTAGTAGTAGTAGTAGTAGTAGTAGTAGTAGTAGTAGTAGTAGTAGTAGTAGTAGTAGTAGTAGTAGTAGTGTAGTAGTAGTAGTAGTAGTAGTAGTAGTAGTAGTAGTAGTAGTAGTAGTAGTAGTAGTAGTACTAGTAGTAGTCGTAGTCGTAGTAGTCGTAGTGGTAGTAGTAGCAGTAGTAGTAGTAGTAGTAGTAGTAGTAGTAGTAGTAGTAGTAGTAGTAGTAGTAGTAGTAGTAGTAGTAGTAGTAGTGGTAGTAGTACTAGCCGTAGAAAGTTGGAGCATGAGGCGTAGTAGGAAGAGGACGACGAGTACCAGGGACGGTGCTGATGATGCTGCTGCTGATGATGATGATTCGTTTGATGATACTGCTGATGCTGCTGCTGATGCTGATGATGTTGCTTATGATGATGGCGATGATGATGGGGCTGATCGTGGTGCTGATGATGATGTTGATGATACTGATGATACTGATGACGTTGTTCGTGATAATGATGATATTGCCGATGATGAAGATGATGTTGGTGCTGGTGCTGATCCTGGTGGTGTGCTGGTGCTGCCGAAGCCGATGCTCATGCTGCTGATCATAATGATGATGCTGATGAGGATGAAGATTCTGATGATGATGACGATGATGATGATGATGATGGCTGATGATCATGAGGAGGAGGAAGAGGAGGATGAGGATGAGCAAGAGGAGGAGGAGACAGGGGAAGGAGAGGAGGAACGGGAGGAATATGAAGGAAGGAAGGAAAAAGGAAAGCAGCAGCTCCCATCATGGGGGGCCGGATCAGGAGAGGAGGCCCCCCTGTCTGCCAACTCTCCGAGCCCAAGGGCGCTGGCCTCCTCGCCGTCGTCAACGTCAGCGCGCCGTGGTCATGGTCGTTGCGTCGTCGTGGTCGCCGCCGCCGTCTTGGTGGTGGCGGTGGTGGTGGTGGTGGTCGTCGTCGTCGGTGTCGTCATTGGCAGCGCGCCGTCGCCGTCGTCGCCGTCGCCGTCGTCGTCGTCGTCGTCAGCGCGCCGTCGCCGTCGTCGTCGTCGTCGTCGTCGCCGTCGCCGTCGTCGTCATCGTCATCGTCGTCGTCGCCGTCGTCATCGTCATCCTCGTCGTCGTCGGTGTTGGCGGCGGCGGCGGGGGCGTCAACGTCAGCGTGCCATCGTCGGGGTCGTCGCCGCTGCCAGGCGCGGCACGAGCTCGCGGCGCCTAGCGCTGGCTTCGACGCCTGCATGCAAAGGCTCATGGGCGCCGGGCATAACACGGCGCTCTCGCCGGAGGAGCCATTCTTTGCGGATCCAGGTGAGGACGAGGTCCTGAGGGTCGAGGAGAAGTTCCGGGTCGGTTTGGTTCGATTAGGTGGTGAAGTGCCTCCAGTTTGGTTCGTTTCGGTGCGGTGTCGTCATCCTTCCGGTTCGGTGTGGTTCGGCGTAAGCGTAAGTTTTCAGAGCTCCCTTCGGATTTCGCGGATCGGCGCTGGGGCCCCCTTGGCAGCGCCTTTGGCGCCGCCCCTTGCGTGCTCCGCGCGCCAGGGACGGGGGGCCTAGCCCGGATGCGATATTTTTTTGGCAGAGCTTCGCAAGTTTATGATGATGCTGCTCTTTCTTCCGCTAGAGGAGGGGCTGATCGGATCGATTCCACAGCGGCAAGCGCCCTGAGCAATCAAAACGGAAGCTGGTCTTTCCAGGCTCTCCGGAGGATTTGTTTGCCTCTCGAACTGAGACGAGTGGGTCTTCGTATCGGCATCATGTGGCCTTCGGTATGCAATGGGAAGACGCGATCGATTCGTGATAAACGTTCGTTGCCTTTACTCGAACTTGCCGGCTCAAATTATTGTGTTTGTTATCGCTGGTCGACGCAGGATGTTTGGTATCACGTCGAGCAACAGTACGGGTGGTAAAGTGGCCAGAGGTGTGGCATTTGACAGTATGGAGGTCCCACGCGCCCACCAAACGCCGATCGCTGATCCACCGATTCCGTCCTGCATCAACTGGAGTACTCACCAACAGAAATGCGTCACAGCTCGAGCATAGAGAATCGTAGGCCACTCGGAGATCCTGCTTGTTAGCTATCCTTGAGCATCCTGCGCACATGCATGTACCATATGTGCTAATGAGAAATTCTTGGAAGGAAACCGAAGAGATGCTCCTATGCCCCTATGGAGGTCCGATGCAGCCATAGAGGGCTTGGATGGCATAGTAAGGCGCATATGGACGCCCATGAAGTCACATGACAACAGGCGAAACTGCAGGCTTGTCGAGGCACGTCCATAATAAAAACGACAAGATACGTCCGCTTCGCATCGACGCCCTTGACGTGTCGAGGGACGTCAAGGCGAAGTGACTATCTTTGATATGAATTTGAGTCAGCGAGACAGTCTGAACCGTCAGAATGAGTCAGAGTATCACTTGCGTACTTGGATGACAACAACGACCCCCATGACATTAGTGTAAGTGTGTGTGTGTGTGCCTATGATATGTTTTAGGAGTCCGACAGACCATCAACATCATATGCGCCCAACATCGCATGCGCCCTTTGAGGCGATCTTCCGTAGTACATTCCTGCCGCCGTTGGTGGGGCAGTGTGTGTGTGTGTGTTTGTGTGTGTGTGTGTGTGTGTGTGTGTGTGTGTGTGAGATTGTTTTGTGTTCAACCTGGAGGATAATACATGATACCCTCCCCCGTCTTCCTTCCCCCCTGTAGGGTGAGGGGTGAAGCGTGTGCCGAAGGGGAGCTTGCGGGGTACAAGGACTAATCCCCTGAACCACATACACCCACAGGGCCGTCTGGGATTGTGTAGAACTTCTGTGACCCCATAGCCTCGAACCTTCCTCGTCGTCCTCCCTTGCTCCCCGTCCTCTTTTCCTCATCCCTCCTCCTCCTCGTTCCATCCTCATCGTCCTCCCTCCCTCCTCCTTATCCTTCCTTCCTTCCTTCTCGAACCTCCCCGTCCTCCCTTCTCCCTCCTCCTCGTCCTCCTTCTAAGAACCTTCCTCTTCGTCCTTCCTCTCTCACCCTTCCTCCTTCCTGCGCGCGCGCTCCCGCGCGTACTCCTGTGAAGAGGGATGGCTGCGACGACGGGCGACGACGCTGACGACGACGGCGGCGCCAATCGACGACCAACGACGATGAACATTGTGACGACGACGCCGACCACCACCACGACGACGCACGATGGACGACAGACGACGGCGGAAGACGGGCGTCCGTCGACCATCGGCCGACGACCAACGGTCGACGACCTACGTTCGACCGTCGACGACGACAACGACTGCGACGACGCGACGACGACGACCAACGGCGCTGGACAACGACCACGACGACGACGACGACTCCGATTGAGCCTCCGCGGGCAGGAGCTTGTTGAGCGTGCGCTCGAGTTCCGGGTGACCAACCGCGTCCTGGGCGAGCGGCCGTCGCCGTCGTCGGTCGCCGTCAGGCCTTCTTTTTCGTCGTCGTCGTGGTCGGCCGCCGTCGTCGTCGTCGTCGTCGTCGTCGTCGTCGTCGTCGTCGTCGTCGTCGTTGAACTCGTCATCTATCAAATGGATTTTCCCAGGGGTTCATACAGGACGGCGTCCAAAGTGAGGGGAAGGAGGGGAAGGAGAAGCAGCAGCAGCAGCGGGAAGGGAAGAGATGGCGTGCGACAGCATCGCACGTGGGCCGCGGCGTGCACCCAGCTCACTTGGTCTCACTGCGCAGTCGTACGCTCGACTCCTCAGGCGGGTTCAGCAAGGCTATGCCAACGTACCCTGCCTTCGGCAGGCCTTGCACCGTGCGCGCAATATTCTAAACCAAATCACTGAAACTGCTACGTTGGGCACCGCATAGTTAGTTGAGCACAAACGCAACGGGCAATATTTATCACGTACTGCAAAGGCTGCTACGTCGGGCATCGCGTAGGCGTGCACGAACGCAACACGCAACAGTACTCAAATTTGGGCTTCACGGCGGCCTCTGGCGCCGACGGGAACTCTGTCTTGACCATCTCGTGCGACTTCGGCGACTCGTACTCGCATATGGGCTTCACGGTGACAGCTGGCGCCGACTGGACGTCTGTTTTGACCAAATCCTCAAGGACGAGCCAGTGCACAGATCGTCGACGTCGAAAGTTGGGTAAATTATGTTCCGTCGCGCGTTGACGTCGAACATGGGGTAAATTATGCTCCGTCGTCGTCGTCGCACGTCCGAGGCAATGCAGTTCCGCTGAGACGAAGCCGTAGCTCAGCGAGTACGCGCCGCCCAGGGAAATGCACATCCGTGTCCACAGGCGCAGAAGACGCGGTAGTGGCCAAACCCTTCGCCACGCAGGGGTCCGAAGCGCGCCGCCCAGGGGATGCACGTCCCTGGCCACAGGCGCCGTCGACGAGGTAGTGGCCTGACCCCTCGCCGCGCGGGGGTCCGAGCTGCGCCGCCCAGGGGCGTGCACATCCCTGGCAGCAGGGGCCGACGACGCGGTAACAACGCCCTCACGGCCAGGAAGTCGAAGGCGTCAATCATCCTCTCGCCGATGCCTGGGAACATGGTGGTGCCGCCAGACAGAACGACGTTGGCGTTCAGATCCTTGCGGATATCGACGTCGCACTTCATGATCGGCTGGAGGGTGGGTGGTGTCGTGGGTGCCGCTGGCCTCCTTGCTCACGATGCTGGGCTGGAAGAGCACCTCGGTGCAACGGAAGCGCTCGCTGCCCACGGTGATTGTCGTGCCGTCGGAAAGCTCGTACGACTTCACCTTGTCCGAGCTCTCCGTGGCCGGCGACCACGACGACGGGCGACGGCGGCAACGACGACGTCGCTGACGATGACGACGATGTCGGCGACGGCGGCGACGACGTCGACGACGCTAGCGCTCAGGACGACGACGACGGTGGCGACGACAACGACGACGACGACGGTGTCGACGTCGACGACGACGACGACGCTGACGCTGACGGCGACGACGACGCTGACGACGACGACGGCGGTGACGACGACGACGACGACGGCGACGACGACGGCGATGACGACGACGGCGACGTGGGCGACGACAGCGACGAGTCGACGTTGACAATGACGACGAGTACGGCGGCGACGACGATGACGACGTCGGCGACGACTGCGACGACGGCGACGACGACGGCGACGACGGGTGAGGAGGACGACGACGACGCTAACGCTAACGACGACGACGACAACAACGACGGCCGCGACGACGACGACGACGGCGGCGGCGACGACGACGACGCTGATGACGACGACGTGTGACGACGACGACGACGAGACGGTGACGGCGGCGACGCCGACGACGACGACGACGACGACGACGACGGCGGCGACGACGACGACGCTGATGATGACGACGGCGACGACGACGACGATGACTGCGACGACGACGACGACGACGACGACGACGACGACGACGGTGACGGTGGCGACGACAACGACGACGTCGACGACGACGAAGACGGCGGCGACGACGACGTCGACGCTGTCGATTACCACGACGACGACCACGACGACGGCGACGACGACGCCGACGACGACGGCGACGACGACGCCGACGACGACTGCGGCGACGACGACGGCGACGTGGGCGACGACGACGTCGCTGACGCTGACAGACGACGACGACGGCGGCGACGACGACCACGACGGCGTGACGACGATGACAGCGAAAATGACGACGACGACGCTGATGACGATGATGGCGACGTGGGCGACGACGATGACGACATTGACGACGATGACGAAGTTGAGGGCGTCGAGGCGACGACGACGCTGTCGACGAAGACGACGACGTCGTCGACGTCGTCGGCGACGACGACGATGGCGACGGCGGCGACGACGACGACGACGTTGACGCTGACCACGGCGACGACGACGCTGACGCTGACAACGACGACGATGACGGCGACGGCGACGACGATGACGACGACGACGGCGGCGACGACGACGACGACGGCGGCTTCGACGGTGGCCACGACGACGACGCTTACGCTGACGATGACGACGACGGCGGCGGCGACGACGACGACGAAGGCGACGACGACGACAACGACCACGACGACGACGGCGATACTGACGACAACGACGACGGCGACAACGACGGCGGCGACGACGACGACGACGTGGGCGACGACGACGACGACGACGACGACGTTGACGACGACGACGACGACGGCGGCGACCACGTTCATGGCGCTGTCGACGACGACGACGACGACCACGACGACGGCGACGACGACGACGGCGACCGCGGCGACGACGACGACGACGACGCTGACGCTGACGCCGACGACGACGACGTTGACGTCGACGACGACGGCGAGGACGACGACGACGACGATGACGACACCCGCCAAGGCGAGCTGGAGCACGCGCTCGCTGGCGGCCGGGCGCGATCTGGCAGGTTGCCGGTCTGCTTCCCCGAGCGGGACCGGCCGCCAATCGGGGGCGGGGGCCGGCGCCGTCCCAAAGACACCTGGACGCTCAATTTTTTTTTTTTTTCGCCGGGGCCCCCAGAGGTCTGGACCGCCTTGGGGCCTGTTTTTCGCCCCGAGTAGTTTTTTCGGGCAGGTGGCCCATCGAGGGCCGAAAATTGAACCAGCCGTTCCAATTTTTTCGGATCCCCTGGGTTTTTTTGGTTCCCTGATTCAGACATGCTCGCGGCGGGAGGTGCTTGGCTGTTTCCCAACGTCAGGCCCTGGCCCTGGACTGGACGCAGGCCCCTCGGAGGCTGCGGTGTTTCTCTCCCCGACCTGCCCTGTCAGCGCGCACACGGCTTCCCTGAGATCCGGGGGTTGCATTTTTTGCACAATGTTCGGGGGTTGCCAGAGGTGCCCCTGTCCCAAGGTGCCCCCAGCTTTTCGCTCAGTTGTGGCGCCCCTGGGGC